AATGCCTGAGGCAGCAGCAGACCGGGGAGGAAGTTCAAGTGGAGGAAGTGCCATGGCAAGACAAGCCCCTGCATGGGATGTACCATTGACAGCTGCGGTGGCTGACACTGGGAAATCCTATCAGTGGCTGGAAAGGGCTGGACTAAAAGCACTGAGGCACTGATCATAGCAGCGCAAGAACAGGCACTAAGCACCAGATCCATAGAAGCAGGGTTCTACCACACTAGACAAGACCCAAGGTGCAGATTGTGCAAAGAGGCCTCAGAGACAGCAACACATAGTGGCAGGGTGTAAGATGCAGGCAGGAACAGCATACACTGAACAGCACAACCAAATAGCTGGCATTGTATACAGGAACATCTGCACAGTTTATGGGCTAGACACCCCCCCCCCCAAATCCAGATGGGAGATTCCACAGAAGGTCATGGAGAATAACAGGGCTAAGATCCTGTGGGACTTCCAGACCCAGACAGACAGGCAGGTACTGGCCAATCAACCAGACATCAAGGTAGTAGACAAAGACCAGAAGACAGCAGTAGTGATAGATGTAGCAGTGCCAAGTGACAGCAACATCAGGAAGGGGTATGAGAAGCTAGAGAAGTACCAGGGCCTGAAGGAGGAACCTGAGAGGATGTGGAAAGTAAAGGCCAAAGTGGTCCCAGTGGTGGTAGGAACACTCGTGGCTGTGACTCCTAAGCTGGGAGAGTGGCTTCAGGAGATCGCAGGAACCACATCAGAGCTCTCTGTGCAGAAGAGTGCACTGCTAGGAACAGCTATGATACTGCACAGAACTCTCAAACTCCCAGGCCTCTGGTAGAAGACCCGAGATTGAGGAAGACACATACATAGGGGTGAGAGGGGAATTTTTTATTATTAATTACACAGCCCTATATAAATAAAAACTCAAGGTGGCAAACATACCTAGTACTCCTGCCTCCTACTTTCCCCACAACAACAACCCTGTGAGGTGGGTTGGGCTGAGAGAGAGTTACTTTTGCCTGGTCTTACACAATTCAGCAGAGAGAGTATATATGAAGCCTGCAACTGAAGCCATGTAAAGAATGTCCATTGAAATGCACAGTTCTCTCATATGCAACTTTTCTTGTATATTCATCCATGCACATGGTTTTATTTTGCTGCAGTTCATTTCCTGTAGTTGTGCTCTGCAATTTCTTGAGAATTTTAGTCTTCCTGGTTTGGTGAAGATTGGTTACACATTCATTTTATGCATTGAGGTATTGATCAGTTTGAGAAATGGAATCCTATATGATGGCAGGAATCAGGGGAATATACTCTCATGATATCCTTACTTCCTTTACACTGGAGGCAGAGATCCTTTTACAGTGGTGTCCACGCATGAAAGCTGGAAACTGGGTTGCTTGGAAGAGAATTGAAAGCATCCAGCCTTAGTTCTTTCCCAATAGCATACACACCGCTTTTTTGTTTCCTGATCATGACTAATCAAAGAAGCGCTAGAGGCATTTAGAAATGCTACCAAGACCTGCAAAACCTTGAGCAGTAACAACCACAGGATGTGAACAGTGTTGGCAGGGTAAACTTTACCAGGCACCTTCAGCTCTATGAGGACCTGGGCACCACTTGGGGCTTGAAAATGCCTCTGCCCAGATGGGAACAGTAACGCTGATGCTGCCTGAGTTGGAACAAATTGAGAATTTCAGGCCTAGCATTCTCAGGCGGAGAGTTCCAATGATGAATTCAGAGGGAGGAAAATGTGATATGCCAAAAATATGCTTCTGGGGTAGGGAAAATTGCCCCCATCCAATGCAGGTTTTCCCTCCTTGCATGCTTGTGTGATGGGCTCTTTCTGCTCTTTCTCTTAACAGGTGAAAAGCCCAGAAAGTCGACAGCCTGAGTTCCTGGTACAGGATAAATTCTTACTATCTCTCCAGCTCTTATTTGGGACAGAGTGTAGGGGCCCCTGTCCATGTTCCCCAAATTTTTCCTTCTCACTCTGGAAGAAAAACAAATGGTAAGCATCTTGTCAGCTTTCATGAGAAGAGGTGTTGGGGCTTCTTAAAAGCCAATGGTTGAACTAGGCAGAAGCACGTAACATTGGAGATAGATAACATTTTATTAAAATTTTCCGAATTACTCCTAAAATGGGTACTTCCTCTCATTTTTTTTTCTCCAGCATTATTCTTTCCTTAATTACTAATGGAGAGCAGACATTCCCAAGTATTGATTTATGTTTATGCTTAGGGACTTCTTCCTCCTTGAAAATCTGTGTGGTTTTGAAGTCTGCAACTGCTGGCATAGTGTTAAATCCTTCAACTTGAGTACTTTGTAACATATGAATTGTTGGGGGGGGGTATTTTACTCCAGACTCCTCAACATGCTGCCCTCCAGATGTGGCAGACCTGGCAAAGGAAATTTGGGAGCCGTTCTCCAACAGATCTCAAGGGCACCCAGTTGGAGAAGGCTGTATGTAGAGATTTGAAGGAGGAGAACGGTATGCCTTGTGCATTTTTAAACTGCAAAACGTTCAGTGCTTTCCATCATTACTGACTACTTGTTCTGGCAATATTCCAGATACTGATATTGTTCCTTAAGTTAGTCCATCAGTCAGCAACAGACAAGCAGGGAGATGTAATTTACTGAGCTCAAGCAGACTTTTCTAAGCTCTGACAAAGTATTTTTCCATAATAGGGTGACCTGCCGCCCTGAGAAGCACAGGTAAAATTATGAAGGGTGTGAATATAACACCACATGGCACACTTTTTGGATGGTCCTTCTAATAATAGTTCCCCCATCTTCCTAATACATTGATCATTTCGAGCCACACAGTATACGTTTCCATTTTAGAGGCAGACAAAGGTCTTCAGTCTTCTCTGTGATTGCAATAAGAATGTAGGAAGTGTGGAACTCTGTACATGTTTTTAAATCAAAATAGAAGAGTTTGAAGGATTTCACTCTTCAATTCTCTTTGTTTGATGCTCCATTTGTAAATGTCAGAATGAATTTTAACAACTTTATAGCTTAAAGACCTCAGTAGGTGGCAACACCTGGCGAACCTTGTCTGGCACAAAAGTGAAATGGGATTGTGATTGTTTAGTATTTGGATGGGGTACCTCCACATGGTTACATCTGTAGACTAAACTGGATGTCAAAACAAATACAAAAAACAAAAAACCGGAAGAAAGCACTTCCATATTGCTGCCGAAATGTATAGGTGGATGTATACATGTAGTTACCACTTGAAGAAGACCATATATTTATAGCTTCTATAGATCCCAACCTGGTTTACATTGATAGCCAGTTTATCACTGCCTCTGCAGAGCACAGATTGCAATATTGTGTTGAGCGCAAAACGTAACATCCTAGAATTCAATATTCAATCAGGTTTCCACTCCTTAAGGTTATAGAGATAGGTGTTAAGTAATGGGATTAATATCTGATGAAATCTCAGAAACCAGATGACTGGGTTGAAAGCACTACTACACCACCACCATTTCTAGTCTGCCACCTCTCCCCAAAGTCTCAGATCCAGTCTTGCAGCAGCCTCTTTGGCCCCCTGGCAGCTGTTTTGAACCTTCACCAGAGTCCACCAGCACTCACTTCAGTTGGCCAACATCAGTATCAGCCTTCTGCTAGCATTCTGCTCACCACCATCTACCACCATACAGAAGTGCCTTAGACAAATCTGTCAGGATTTTCATTCTCATGGGAAAGGATTCATCCCCTTATCTTTACAACAATAACAAATAATATTTTGGCTACAGAGATCATGTGAAAAACACCTGT